AAACCCTACACCCTGAATCAATAGGCTAGGTCCGGCTAGGTCTCAAGTCGTTCATGGCCTTGGTAAACTCCTTGAAGTCACCTTCCTGCAGGACCGGCAGCCGCTGAAACTTCGACTGGTGCGCATAGGTCTTGGCAATTGCTGCACACTTTGGGTCGTAAACAGCAGCAAAGGACTGGGAGGAGTTCTTGCATATCTCTTGCGCCTGAACAAGTGCTGTGAGCTGCGCACGCGCGGGTGTGTCTTGGCGCAACACCACCAGCTGCTGGGAAAGCATCTCGGACGCTGTTCTGTCTATCCGACTTCAGCTTGCCCAGGGAATCATCTTCGGTGATCTTTTCCGTGGACTCGGGAACCTTCATGTCCTCGGCCACGGCCTTGGACTCACTGGCCGTGGATCCTTCAAGCTTCAACTCGAACTCTGTCCAAAAGTCTTTGATCTTGTTCAAGCTTTTGGCGTGGATGGGAGACGCCCCACCAGCTGGTGGGCTTGCCAACAAGCCCTTGATTTCCTGGTTGAAGTTTCCTGCCAGAACCTGCCGGAAGTGTGCCACCGCCAGTGACAAAGGTCTTGGCACGCCACTCATCCAAGAAAGGTCTGCCACCTCGGACAATGGGAACTCCTTGTGGAAGGCCCACGGGCTTCTGAAAATGAGCTCACCTCGAGGATGGTCTGAGATCCACGCCTTCAGCTGTGTCAACAAGAAATCGCCATATCGCTTGGCAAACAGAGCAAAAGAGACATCGCCAGCCTTTGACTTCAGCTCACTTGCCGATACGTTTTCGGCCCCGCGCAGCATCTTCATGCCCAGGAACTCTGTGACAAACTCCAGTTCCGCCGGGCAAAGACTACGCTGGCATAAGACCAATACCTTGCTGTGTTGGTCGAAAAGAGTATCTCGGCCGAAGCTGGCTCTGATTGCCTGCGTGGTGGCCTTGGCACGCGGGGCAGCATTTAAGCTCTCGCCAATTCCCAATAGTTGTCCCACGGTGTTGGCCGATGGACACCTTTTGGGGTCCGTCCACTTGATGTTTTGCTGCAACCAAGCACTGATGTCAGCATTCTGCACCTTCCCAGTTGTTGTGGTGGAGCTCTGCACAATCTTGGCTGCCTTTATCACAACTGCAATCAAGCGGGTCATGTCCAAGCCGAAATACTCACGCAGGTTCTCCATGGTGTCAAGCTGCTCGGTTGCTGCCGCAAACCTGGCCTCCTCATTTGGGAAGTACTTGAAGGTCATTGGCACATTCTTGCCGAGGGCACGCCACTGCCCATCATCTTGCCCCAGCTTCTTTGCGCAGGAAAAGGCATACCAGTAGCCAGCAACTGCTAGGTCGGCGCCAAAACGATCCCACCTGAGACTCAAACCCGTATGGACGGTATGATGCGCACTTGACCCACGCAAACCTAGAAATTGTGTGTTTCA